TCCCGGAATCCCTCGAAGTTCGAACTGGTGGTTGTGCGGTTCCCATCGTGGTTGATCTAATGCCGAAATTTTTTCCACATCTACTAGAGGGAGCTATTGAGATCTGTACATCAGGAGGCGGTCCAGCAAAGTATGATCCGGAGACTAGAAGCTACTCGGCTGACTTGAAGATTTCGGGTGGAGCTGCGCTGTACTCATACGGAAAGAGATCCGCCTGGCCCGGGCTTCCTTTCAATGCTGTTGGTAAGGCGTGGCTCAACCCTCACTTTGACATTGGCCTCGATGCGACCGTGATTTACTCTGGCGGAGACCCGAACAAGCTTCAAATGTCTCTAGAATTTCCCAACACGATGACTACCGTGAACGGTTCCATCTTTACGTGGCATATTCTCCAAAGAATGGGCTTCGACATGTTCACGACTGCGAGTGGTCATCACTACATCAACCGAACATTCGTAGACAAGATCATCCAATTGCAGCCTCCACAATAGCACTCGTGGTGTAAGAGTGACTTGTGACTCGATTGCATTTCATACCGTACTTGACTCCCCACAATCGAGTTAGATCACCAAGTTATAGCGAGCTCAATAGTAGTATGAACAGATTCGATCGCATTGAGTTTCTGATTAGACTAAGTTCTCATGCGGTGTTTGAGATAGTATTATCGCTTAGTTATCCGTTATTGAAGATCGGAAGCTTTCGTTCCACTCGACTTTGATGTTGTGTTGGCGATTTAAAACATCATCTTGTGTTGCTGACAGCACACCTCAGTTTTTTGATTGTGAGGTTAAAATCGCCAGACTTGTCTTGGCGAACGCTACCGATGTTGAATTGGGTACCCGTAGGAATTTTGTCCTTGAAAGGAGAAGAGAAGGACTTGATCCCTTTCATAAGAACTTGTTGTCTTTTACTATGGTAATCATACTCCGCCCGTTCAATAGACAAGGCTGTGTGCGATGTTGGAATCGATTCTCAGAATCGATTTTCGGGATCGTTCCTGAAGTCGTGTTCGATAAACACGATTTTGAAAGTAGAAAATCGATCTCGAAAGCGCTTCCGAAATCAATTCCGACTCGCGTTCAGTAGACACGATTTTTAAAATCGGTTCCAGCAAGGATTCTAGAATGGACAAATCAAATACGAAATGGGGCTCATCGGGATGGAACCTGAGGCAACAACGTACTATATACCTCGACTTCCTCGACTATAGCTGAATTCCGAAATATACCTCGACGAAGATTCGAGTCTGAGACACTCGGGTAACACTGCACGATGTAAGTAACTTATGATAACACTGCAAGTAACTTATGATAAGTTACTTGTCCTACTAGACTGGATTGACTACTTATTATACTAGTCACTGTTGAGCGGACCAACTATGAGCGACTCGCTCAGAGCGAGTACCAGTCCTTGTCAGTAGGCTGTTGACCTACTCACCCTTTAGTGAGTGGTACTTGGTTGCTGGACCTCAGTATCTGTCTCAAGGTCCTGTTTCTTCCGGACTCCAGACGCTCCTCTTCTCGGTGCTCTTCTCTATGAAGCCTCTGTCACGCGCCACGAACTTTTCATAACCACTCGGAGTGGTTCTGGAATTCGCGATTCCCTCAGAATCGCGGAAAAGCTCCTTTGAACGCGCTAAGAACCACTTCTGGAGACGTTTCTGAGATTGTTTCCAGAACTGGTTCCATGAACACAAAGTCACAGAATCGTTTCCAGAACTGGTTCCATGAACACAAAGTCACAGAATCGTTTCTGGAAACGCTTCTCAAATTTAAAATCGGACTATTGAATAGGCGGACTGTTACTCAGCAGCCTGGAATCAAGACAAATGGTATACTCGGTCAGAATGACTGAAACTCGTACTTCCCGAAATCGCAACCCCAACTGCCTCCAAACGAACACAACATTGCGAGAATAGAATAACCAGTCTCTCTAGACAGTAGAGACTGCCAATGTGACGACTAATAGTAGCAGAAATATAGATAATAGAGTAACGACTAGGAAGCTTAGATCGAGAGTTACACTGCAAGAGCTGTAGCAGTGCCAACAGCAGAGTACTGCTGAACAGGTTTAATGGGAACAACAACTATGAATACAAATGGGACCCTTACGGTGAATCAATTTGGTAGAATTGCCCTGTAAACACTACACGTCCCTTCCTAACAACATCTTGGAGGGAGTAAAACCAACTACTTTAAAATACACAAACCTTGGAACATAATCATTATCAACTTATATTAAGCTTCATTAGTCGAGATCAGATGAGACCATTTAATCTATCGGATCGACTCATTCGTACCAACAACGTCGCTCTTGCTATTGAGACGTTTCTCAAGACTTTCGACTTCAACAGTGGTAGAAGTGTCCTCAGCAGAGCCCTTACCAATACCTCTGCAAGCAATGAATGTCGTAGGCATGCCAACGAGGAATAGAACCCAACATATCCAAAACTGCGTAGTATAAGCAGCGTGAATACCAGGTAAATCGACAGTCCAGGAAATGGCAGCACCGATCGACTGGATACCCTTATAAAGACCGGTGTATCTAGCCGCTAGAGAGGCATTCTCACCAGCAATGGCACCCATTACCCAATAGGAAAACGTTTGAACGATAGAGTCACCGAAACCATAGAGCAAGTAGACAATGCAAGGATACCAATACTTGCTGTCAGTGAGATCAAGCTTTTCATCATCACCAACAACGTTAGTATAACGATCGTAACCGCCCATATAACCGTATTGCAAATAACACCCAAGACCGTAAATGATGTTAAAGCAGATGAAAACGAAGAAGAAACCTTGTATTCCTCTAGTCCTGAGACTGTACTTTACGTTATCTAGGAGGATACCAGTGCACCACGCACCGAACATTTGGGCTAACCAGTACAACGCTGAATTCAAGCCACGTGTACGAATAGTGAAAAGAACACCATTCACGCAGTTGAAGACATACGTGTAGAAATAGTTAGAACCAAAGAATAAAATTAGTAATAGAATCATATTTTTATCCAGAATCACAGAGGCAGCGTCAATGAACTCCTGCTTGACGCCTTTAGCTGGAGTTATAACTGCATGCGAACCATCTTCGAGCACAACCTTCTTAGGATCTCTTAGTAAGAACAAAGCCATGACGGCACCAACAGCCATAATAGCGATGAACACGAAGTAGGAAGCAGCATTAGCTGTACCAGTTTCGGTATCGAAGTTCAGAGCGAACTGCAGGATACCACCGATGAAACCACCAAGGTTGAATATAACCCAGAAGGTCGTGATGTAATGACCCTTCTTATTCTCAGGGGCATACGCCATCATTAACGCACCCTGAGCAGTCCAGAGCCAGCCAGCTCCAAAACCCAGTAGTGCGCCGGCGAGGACGAAGAGCCAACCAGTACCAGCAACATGTCCGGATATGTAAGCACATGCTGCATAGAAAGCATACAGGATGCCACCAGCAGCCATTAGAATTCGAGGACCCAGCAGATTGAAGAAGAAACCGCCAAAGTAACCAAACACGGCAAAACATACGTACAGTGCAATATTGGCCGGATCGTTAGCAGAGGGGTTAGCATTGCCAGCACCTCCTAGACCCTGCATGGCGTTGAAGAAACCCGGGCAACAGAAGGCGATAATCCCTGTGATGACCACTTGGGAGTAACCCCTACTGAGCCAAGACACACTCTTAGGATCCGTATACTTTGCCGACGCAGGCGAGGTCATTGAGCGGAAGAATAAAACTAACAACCTAAGACTGACTTTTCGTTCATTCCATTGCTTTTAGTCTCAATAGCTATTCAAGAGACAAAATTATGGTAATAAAACCTTCAAGAAAACAACTCTCGAGAATATCTATACACAATAAGAACTCGAGTATCATCAAACAGAGAAATTCCTCGAGACCAGCTGCCGTCCTAAGCCACTAGCTAATAAGCCTTGTAAGAGAATACCACCAGTGACGTAACTCACTAGCTCTGCTAGCTTGCACAAAAAATGGTGGACAGCGGGTAAAATCTTGGAAAATCTTGCTTCCTTGGAATATTTCTCAACGCTCCTTTGCTAGCGAACCATGATTTCTCTTGTGAAGAGGTATTTATGGAATTTTGATGGCTTTTCACACGAACGCAGAAAACCCGCTGCCTTTGGAAAACCAGAGATGGGAAAAATTACTCCAGTTTACGTTCAGACCATTATTACTTAATAGATGCACATCCCTATGAAGTACGAGGCTTACCTTAGCTCTTGTTGCTATTAGCCTGCTGATATCAACCCAACACCTGCGACTGGAATCCATACAAGGTGAGCTCCATACATGTGTATGGTGACACTAGGCATGAGTGTACGGATCCCCTGTTAGCGAGCTAGAAATCACATGGTGTCACCGAGGCTGCTCAGTTAGTGGAGTAGGGAATATAGGTACATACGAGAACCACCCTCTGAAGTGAGGTTATCATCTAGACACTATACTCATCATACTAGGCTCAAAGAGGCTGGAAACGGTGAAAGCAGCTTTTTGGTAAGACTACAGGGCCTGTCAGTGGAGGAGAGGCAGCTGAGGCCAAAATCACAACTGTACCCGCCAAGTGGGAACTACTAGTGCTTCTTTATTATTGATTTATGCGTATTAGTGATCACTCGGATGACCTAGTGGAAGGCGAGGGTGCCTACAAGCTTCTCCTCCTCCTCGTCTTCTGCCAGAGAGCTCTCCAAAGCCGATCACCCCCTAAGCAACTTCATCCCACTCGGTCAGCCCATCCCTAGCCTAGTGAATGATCGTGTTAGCGTCGTCATCATGAACACAGTAGAGATGCGCCCAACTGCTAGAGGGGACAGTGGTGCATTCGTTTCGGTAGGAGGCGGAGTAAAAGTTCCCCTTCGTGTGGTAGGTTGATCTCTCTCTTATGTTATTTCGACTTTTTTCCTCCCCCCCCCACTGTAGAGCTTTCGTCATTCCGAACCATTGAGTGTAGATGTGTGGGGGAAAGGTCGAAGCTTTTACGTGTAATGTTCACGACCACGCCACATTGAGATGATACGTTGTAGAAGGGCTAGAGGGTTCCATATTTGGAAGCATTTCCAATGAGGTCCTTTACCATTCGTTAACTAACTACTCTGGTGTCACTAGAGTGGTAGTTGTGTTACAGTGTACTAACCTACTACAGTTAAATCTCTTTCATCATGCTGCCTTATAAACGTATGCTAGGGCTCACCACCAAAGTGGCGAGTATTGCTACTATGCGGTACTCTTGCATGTTGAGGCCCTTCACCTTCCGTAGTCGTTGGTTTGCAACGACCGTAGGAGCGTCCTTAGCTGGCAGGCATAAAGTGAGAATGCCAGTTAGAGTTGGAGATAACGAGACTGGTAAGGGAACTCTCACAGAATTGGCGATTTTTAATTTTTTGTTGTAGGCGGACTCATAGAGGCTCATAGGAAAGCTCTGAAGCCTAGTTCGGAGTTGTCAGTGGAGTGGCATAAATTCTGGTGGGATGCTACTGTTAAAGAAGTAAGCTGGGTTGGATTTAGTTTACAGTCTTATGGGAATTGAAACCGCAACCGGACGGTCGATATTGACGATATTTGAATCGTTTTTCGCGTAACTGAGTTTGCCAGAAAAAAATATTTTAGATGCGATGTCGATTTTCAAGTTGTTTTGATTGTAACAACATGAACGTACGCTCTGTTATATCCCATGCCTTTATATACGTAGCACTGATATTAAGTTATTGAACCGATCCTTGTGAGGGTTGGCTATTGACTGCTTATGGTCATGCGATACGGTTGGGGTAGGGGTCGAAGTTTGTGTTATTCGTCTGCTATTTTATAGTAGAATTGTTCTATTGCACTTCTTCTCGGGGGTCTCCAAGGTAGTATAAGTTTCTGTTATGTCCAATGGTTAGAATGTTTATCATTATCATTTATTGTCGTCCTTACAATGTTGTCGTACGATGCGATCAAATGGTAATACTTGTCATTATCGTGTGATAGTGAGTGTGTATATAAGTTCAAAGTTCAACGCCTATCACAACATGGTTTAGACTTGCATCGACGCAGATTAGCTCGCGAGAAATCAGTTTCGCCTCCATAGTCGTCGTAGTGATATAATACCAAATAGTAGCAGAATCGATCGCTCTCATGTATATACTGTTGTTTTACTATCAGGTAGATCCTCAGGCCAGCAAGGTTCTGGTAGGGTTTGATGCCTGGGACTCTCGGTGGGACGAGTGGATACCAATAGACAGTAACAGGCTCAGGGAGCGCCTTACCACTGATGAGGCTATGCATACCTCTGGAACGATCGAGTCGGCTCCTAAGGTGAGTTGCATAGGAGGTAGTAGTAGTTCTTATCATCATCTCTTATAGAAGCCATCAGTGATCGAGAGAAGACCTATTGCCACGGTGGAGAAGACTGAGGCGACTGTAAAGGTGGAGGAGTCGGCAGGTTGGGAGAAATTGAGGGCTGATGATGGTACTCCTTATTATCATAATAAGGCTACTGGACATACTCAGTGGGAGAAGCCGGGGGGGAGTGGCTTGTCTGAAGGCTGGCAAGAGTTGAAGACAGATAGTGGTGATAGCTATTACTATAACGAGGCGACTGGGGTGACACAGTGGGAGAGGCCTGGGGTAGTAGAAACGCCCTTACCGGAGGGTTGGGAGGAGTTCCGAACGCCTGAGGGCACTCCTTATTATCATAATGAGGCGAAGAGTGAGACTGTGTGGGAGAGGCCATGTGGTGGAGTGGAGGCTGAGGAGTTGCCAGTCGAATCAGGAAAGCCTACGACGACTGAGAAGGATGAGAGGGGATTGCCCGAAGGCTGGCAGGAATTCAAGGCTGATGATGGTACTCCTTATTATTATAATGAGGCCACTGGGGTGACACAGTGGAGGAGGCCGGGCGACTTGGCGGTGAGGCTGCCACTAGGCTGGGAGGAGTTTAAAGCTGATGATGGTACTCCTTATTACTATAACTCCACTACTGGGGTGACACGATGGGAGTCACCGGTTGAGGGAGAGTCGGTGACTGGTGACAGTAGTGCACAAAGAGAGGAGTCGAGTGAGGGGGTGACTCGTGAATGGCAGACGTTTTACGCTGATGATGGTACTCCTTATTATTATAATTCGACTATAGGGGTGACACAATGGGAGCTGCCGGGGAATGTCGAGGGTGGTGACACGGCAATGAAGACTGGGGTGACTGCAGAGGCCCTGCCGGTTGGTTGGGAAGAGTTCCGAGCAGATGATGGTACTCCTTATTATTATAATTCGACCACAGGGGTGACACAATGGGAGCTGCCACAGGGGTCTAGTCAGATGGGTGTCACCACACCGCGGAGTGTTGAGGGTAGAGAGGCTTTGCCGGCAGATTGGGAGGAGTTTAATGCTGATGATGGTACTCCGTATTACTATAACTCGAAGACTGGGGTGACACAGTGGGAGTATCCTGGATCTGACTCCACGCACGCGGAAGATTTTAAGGTTCAGGTGTCTTCTAAAGATCTCCCGAAAGGCTGGGAGGAGCATATTGCTGAGGACGGAACTCCTTATTATCATCAGCTTGAAACTGGTATTACTCAGTGGGAATTCCCGAAGGCCCAGTCTACCGAAACGCAAGGGGTGAAGACCGATGAGGAGGAAGTCTCGACAGATGCTGCTGAGGTTGCGATGGCTGCTATTAAAGGCTTGCCGGATGGATGGGACTGTGTGTTGACTCCTGAGGGTAGAGAACTATTCTTTCGGGAGAAGGGCGAGCGCGGTCGGACTAGCACATGGTCCCGCCCTACAGCGTAGTAGTTTTTTGTTTCTGACTTTTAAGCGAATTTTAAGGTTTCAGTGATTTTACTTGTACGTTGTGTAGATAGTTTATCACCATGATATTAATAAAGATGTTATCATTATCAGGTTTGTTATGTAATGATGTCATTTTCTATACATTCTTCCTGCGGGGCTTCCCCTACTGCTACTACTTGTCAAGGTCCTCTTCGTCGGCAAAGTGTTGTCGAGATGTTCAGGGAGGCTATGACCAGCGCCACACCATCGCGGTTTACGGAAACAGGTGGGATGGTATGAGGCTTATATGGCTACTAGGGAATCATGCAGGAACCTAGCCATGTTTTGGGGGGAAACTCATTTCGAATTTTTTACATGGCTACGGACACATTCTTCGATGTTAATGTCATCATCACATTGTTATTAAAGTCTCGGGGGTGTTATCCCTCAAAGCTATATGGCTTTCTAATGGCGACTGCGTTTCTACTTTCTTTTCTATTGGTTGGAAGTAGAAGGCTACGATGTCGCTTGCGGAGTTACTTGAACGTGAAGTAAAATTCTTCAGAACAGCGCTCTGTGGAGGACGAGGTGTTCCCGGCGAGCCTCATACCATTCATCACAAGATGTACACTTGTCACTCTAATTCCAGGACGATATCTTTGGGTTTCCCTCAACAAAGCCGCGTATACGGTAGTGGCGTATAAACTCACTTTGAATATGTCGCACTGTAGGAGCTCGGGGGCGGTCAGACGTACGTTCAGTCTGACTCTGACGGTTGGGAGTACATATGCACCGATTTTGAATATGAGTATCAAGTGCTGGGCAAAGAGTTTGGCCCATATGATCTTGCATTAACGCACAGGTGAGAAAACTTCCGAGTAGTGTTGGTGAGGAAATGGAAATTTTGAGGAAATTTTAGGAATTTCTTGTTGAGTTTTTTTACACTCCTACCTAAATCCGTGTAAAGTTTTATAATAAGTGAAGGAATTTCCCCGAGCTCAGCTGAGGGAAGCGAGCATATATGTTTCAATACTGCTGTGGAGCTACTGGTGGCTTCAAATTGTAACATAGTGTTGGAGTATATGGCCGCTATTCTCAGCGGAGTTTAGGAATTACCTCACTAATAATACAAGTTTACATACGAAATCGGGTAGGGGTGTACCGATGAGAATTTTTTCAATTTTCCTCGAAATTTTTACACATGTAGTTGACAATGTGCATATTCTCCTACAGTGTTGCATCGAGCACCTGGATAGTGTATCCCCACCGAAGGTACATCACTGACGTTTGTGGCTTATTGGACAAGGGCCGACGAGTTGTTCACTTCTGTGGTTCTAAGAAGACCTTCCGCGCAGCGTCGGCTTGTCTGGCCTCGCTATGTATGACCTATAGAGGAGATGTCACTGGTGAGTTGATGTTCCTACTGGAGGGACCTTGTGTGGTTTACTTTGATTGATCAACACGGTTGAATATATGGTAGTATTCGCAGCGTATTGATGTCGAACGCATAGTAGTAACAGGCTGTTACTAACAGCAGTCAGAATCTCCCTGAGAGTTCAACAACCATCACGACTGGGAGAAAAGTGGGAGAAAAGTCCGGTTTTGTTACAGTGCGAATTTTTATGCCCATCTAGACCTCGTTTGGTGCTTCGGTTTACTATTGGTTATATTACTAACAGCTCAGATCGTTGGTTTTGTGAAATTTCAGGCGCCCAGGCGGCCCAGTATTTCGACAAGGTCAGATTGGAGCCCTTCAGAGATGCTACTCTCGGCGTGTCCACTTTCGACCTCACCCTTGAACACGTTTGTGAGGGCTTCGAGTTTGCTGTTCAAGAGGGATGGTTTGAGCTTGAGACGTTCGATCGGAAGGCTTGGGAGCATTATCAGCAGCTCTCGAATGGAGATATGAACTGGATAGTACCGGCGAAGATTCTAGCTTTTGCTGGTAGGCTCTGACCGCGCGCCACGAAATTATCCAAGAGGGAAATGCTCAGGTCCTAGTGACACTTTGGTGGATGAGCAGGGCCAGGAGGTGTGCCACCCTGAGCTTTATGTGAAGACATTCTCAACACCTGATTTTGGCATCACTACTGTGGTGAGGCTCAATGAGCGCAGATACTCCCCCAGCTATTTCACCGAACATGGAATAAAGCACTATGACCTTAATTTCGAGGTAGGACT